AAGGTTGAGAGAAAACAGAAAGAAGATGTTGCACTAGTGTATTTCAAGGAAGTTTTAAATCTAAGCTGGAAAATATACCAAAATGAATAGAAAATGCTCAAAATGTCTTTACTGTAATCTTGTGGCTAATAACTTACATGGCTTTGCTTGAAGTATAGTTGTTGATGTTTTTACCCCTTTGAAGTGGAGTACCCGAGGGCTCTATCTTAAGTCCAATTCTTTCTTTTTGTATTTTGTCGCTGCCATTCATTACGGTATACTTTCATGTGCAATATTTAGTTTTTTTCTCCATACATGTACAAGTTTGATTAAGCATGGTTTGCACCTGAAATATCTGTATTGTTCTGAAATAGTAAAAATATTTGTATAAAACAATTTGACTCGTTGACTTTAATTTGCAAACTTCTTGTTTTTTTGTCATATTACTGTATTACAAATCAGCGTGGATATATTTGATAATGTTCTATTCATTTTATTTTGTTGACCATCTGGGGAAAAAAATCTAATTTATTCATTGTTCTTTGAGTTCCAGCAAAAAGCACAGTCATTTGCTTTTTGTCCAAAGGGTTCACAAACAACTTTTTAATATGGAATAATTTCAGTCAGTTGTTTTAGGCAAAATGTCAGCTGGAAAATCTAATACAAGCCTAAAAATGTGTTAGCTACAGTGTTGAGAGGGAGTTGAAAATTAATTTAAATGTCATGTTATGTGGCCCTCTGCCTTGCCAAGATAAATTAGCTACTGAAACGCTTTCACTGTGTCAGCAAACTTCAGCTCAACCAATTAAGTCATGCTATAGCTAGTTGTCAAGCTCCGAACCTTTGGAATCCAGTCATATATACTGAGTGACATTTGTTTTTATTTTGTAACAAAATTCCATTTATTGTAGCTGGGGTGTGAAAATTGCTTTTCCCACATCTCTCTGGTGGCGTCGTTAGGGAGACACAAGTTGGTGAAAACATTCTGGAGAAGTGATGGACACAGCCGAGCCATAAGAATTCCAGTTTGCTCGGTAGTTCTCTCTTCAAGGGCATCTGCAGCAGGGCTCTGAGCCGGAGTGAAGCCAAGTCAACGCTAGCATTGGGGTCCCATCAACAAACAGCTGTAGGACTAAACTAAGTGAATCAACAGGGCTGGGCAACTGGTGCAGGGCCAATCAGTGCAAAAAGGTACATCTAGATGAGCTAGATTATTTAAAATTCGGATCTATTTGAGTAGAGAAGCCCAATAAATTCTGATTATCCGCCAATTATCAATTTTTCTGAGCTTGCAAACAGAAGACACAGAGACTATCTTCTGGTGCACACTGGGGTAGTTTTTCCAGTGTGGTTTTACTGAAAATGGCAAATCAAGTCTTGAATCTTGAGTTGTAATTTTAAGTTCATTCAGGTTTGTTTAAGTCCATGAAAAAAGGGTTAATATGGAGCCCCTAAACTTGACCAAAAAATGTCTTTCTTTCTTTTTTGTGAGAACTTTGGAGCCTCTGTATGTAATTTCAGTGTTTTTCTACCTTGAAAGTTTTTATAGCATAAAAATATATAATTCAAAAGTAAAATCAGGACCCTAAAATATGACTTTTTTCTAACATAAATATTGAATGGAATCAGAAGACGGGGCAAATACCAGATATTGCTTCAAGTTATTTTCAATCGTTAGGGTACAATATAATGTATTCTTTGTTTTGTTTTTCTTGTTTGGACATAAACCAGCAGTATAAAGCAAATGTAAATATTTTCATCCATCGTCCCTGGGCTGGCAAATACATAAATGACCACAGATTGGCAGCACAAGGAAACATTAAGAGACTAGTGGTCATATGACTGGTTTGATTTCAGCCATAGTTTGAGTTGAGTTTTAAAGCTGATCGTGTGGGGCTCTCCCTTATGTGCATATAATAAACACTTACATCATTGAAGAAAATACAGAACTTTTATGGAAAATGTATTTTATTTTCTTAAATCTTCAGGAGTAAACTAAAGCTTTTATTTGACAAAGTTCCATGAAACCCGATATGTGAGACATTTGCTTTGACAACGTGTTTCATAACTTTTTAAACAAACATATTTTCATCGACACAAAATGCAAAAGATCAAACGAGTGAGAGCCACGTTCACTGTTCAAAATATGGCTTTGCACAGTTTTTACAAACAACACTGTATTTTAATTGTTTGGATTCAGCTGGTGAAGATACTGCAAAGAACGAATGACGACAACCTTAAACGTATTAAACACCAAAGACATCAAAACAATACAACATGAAAGCATAATTGCCTACGAGAAATATTCCTACAGAAAAGCCATAAAGTGCTGGTATTATGAAAAATAAAAATACGATCTTGCATCATCAGTGCTGTACTATCTGAAAGCATCCTCAAAGAGCCGGCAGCAGATTTTGATCCATGTAATTTAATACAAACATTCTGATCAACTCCTAGTACCTGTGGTGTGGTGTGCCTCAAGGTTCTGTCCTCGGTCCAATTCTATTTGCTATATTCATACTCACCCGAGCAGCGTTCATGTGCATCTTTTAACTCTAAACTTTTAACCAACATTAAAAGATCTTCTTGAGTTACTGACTTTGTTGAGCGGTCTGTATAACTTTGCTAATGTGGCTGACTCTTGCTACCTTTATCGCCACTAAACGCATTCCAACGAGTGAATAATTAAGAAATAATTTGGCTAACGCGATAGGGATATACTGTACTTGCCTTGGAATGCTGCACACTGTTTATAATGAACTAATTGTGTTTTTGACCATTTTAAGACGGTAGAACCGTAGAGAACAACCAAATCTTCTTTGCTTGTATATACTTCCTTATATTGTAAATGGTTAAACATTCATAGAAAATGTCATAAACAGTCATATATCTACGCATACAGTAGTGTTGGTAGAATTGTGCTTAGTGAGCTATCATGAGCTTGACAACAGCTGAAATTCCCATATTCAAACAAAATACTCATCAAAACAAAGCAGGTGCCATTGAATTGTATAGACAGCATTACATTTTAAAGGGGGCACATGATTCAAAAGTGACCTATCAATTACAGAGGCTTGATTCTTAGCCATACGTGAACTTTTCATGACATCATATTGATTCACCTCCAAATTAAATAAATGTGAAATAATATGACAAGTTCCTGAGGATGAGTATATATATCTTTAAGCCGTTGTATACCACTGCTGTATTTGTTTTTGTTTATCTCTACATCCTGAAAAAAAATATCTGACAAATGCTATGATGAAGAAGCAATAAAGGAAGTGTGGTTAGCTGCAAGTCTGACCCAAGATGACCCAATCTGCTGTTGTGGTCGTTATAAGAATTGCCTTCACGCTTGAGCTGTCTAGAAACAAGAAATTTAAAAGATACAATATAAAGATAGACAGCAGAACTTTTTAATTAATTTGCTTTCAACATTTGCTTTCAATCGGCGTTGTCTCCAGGAAATTGCTTCCAAACAGCACAGTTTATTTCATTCGGCTGTATTGGCTAGTTCAATTTGTATACACGGATTTTCTCAATTTAGAATATTGTTTAAAAAAGGTCAATATTTTTGTCTTTAACATATTCACTATGTGTTTAAGATTCTCTTAAAGCTGTAGTACCTAATTTTCAAACCAAAAAAGCTCTAAAAGTCTCATTTAGTGAATCACTGTCTCTATCTTAAACATATTCAAAATATAAAGGTTTAATTAAATTATAATATACAATGAAAACAACATTTCAATGTGGCATTTATAATGAATAAATAACAGATATCCAACTCAATTCAAATCACTGTCATTCAAGACGTCAGTGATCTGAATATTCCACCTCGAATCATTTCTCTGATCATTCCAGGTCCAGGTCATGCTTCTTGGGATAAAAAAATATAAAGCATTTTTTACACATGAAAACTGATGCTGGCTACAAGGAAATGCAACGTTCTGTAATTATGCAACATACTGCACTGCAAAAAATGATAAAGAGTACATACACAGAAAGTAAAGTCTCTTAAAAACAATAAATACTTCTCTCATGAACTCTTTTTTAATTTAAAACTCTAGAACACCCAGAGAAGTCCTTTTGAGGGTTTTTTGAAAAAAAAAAAACTTTATTGTTGAAGCGCAAGTAGTTCTACCTTTAACTCTCTAGCAGTCATTTCGACTGCTCTACTATGTATGTATGTGTGTCAAATGTTTCTCCAATGTGCTGGTCCAGGAATGATCTAGACCAGTGTCTCCCAAAGTGGGGTCCGCGGCCCACCAGGGTACTGCAGGGGGGCCGCGGGAGGTCATAAAAAAATAAAAAAATAATATAATTATTTAATGTTAAATTTATAATGTTTTGTTTGTAATATTAAAATATTTGTGTTCATTATTTGACTTGAATAATCCACTGTAATCATTTTTGTATTACAATGTTTGTAGCAGAGGCTATTTCCCCAAAATAAAATAACCAGAAGAGCCTATTCTTAATGTTGTCTTCTTGGTTATTATTTTGGGGGGGCCACGCAGACCCGTCAGATTTTTAAGGGGGCCTCGGTGTTACTGAGTTTGGGAATGGCTGATCTAGACTATTCTGTTTCAGCTTGGTTTTCCACCAGAGAAGAGCAAGAGCTAGTTACCATAGCAACACACTGTTACTGGCGGCCGTTAGCATTTGGTGGCTTCTCACCAGACTGGTTTTGTAACGTAAAGTAAAAAAAACTTACTTTAATAAAAAACTGGTGGAAAACAAACTCACTTTTTTTTCTTCTGAATCCATTGATTAGTTGTAGTAGTTTGAGAAGTCCTAGTGTTAACCTAATTCAAACATTTAATTTATACTTTTTGTCATTTTTTGCAGTGTGTGAAAAAGATCCAAAATAATGACTTATGCTAGTGCTAAATGTTCACACTAAATTCCCCCAAAAGCATCGACTGCCTCCTTCTACCTAAACATACTGAATAAAGGGCCAAAGCTTGGTTAAAAGGTCATAGGTCGATTTGTTGAGTCTCTGTAGTCCGTTTCACCGTCTTTCACCGCATTATGTCCACGGCGACCAGGCTGCGCGCGTACCGAGCCGAGCGCATCTTCAGCTCGTGGTAACACTGGACAAAACTGTGGTAGATGAACGTTATCGGCAACGCCAGGAGCACGATCCCACTCACCACGCAGAACCCTCCCAGCACCCGCCCGGCGACCGTCACCGGGTACACATCCCCGTACCCGACGGTCGTCATGGAGATGATCACCCACCACGCCGCAGCCGGGATGCTAGCATAATCGCTGTTGGGCGAGTCTGTGTCCAAACCGTGCTCCAGCAGCTGAGCGAGAGCACTGTATATTGCCATGGCTACAAATACAAACACCATTAGCATCACCATCTCGCGGTAGCATCGGCGCAGCGTTAGCCCCAGCGTCTGCAGACCAATGAAGTGGCGAGCTAGCTTCATCAGCCAGAACACCCGCATCATACGCAGGACCCGCAGGAAGATCCCGGCCACCCCTAACCCGGCCCCAGGCATGCCGGCCCCGGCCAGCGCCATGGTGACGTAATAGGGGGTGATGGCGATGATGTCGATGATGTTGAGCGGACGCCGGAGGAAGTCCCACTTGTTGCGCGCCACCAGGAAGCGCAGGGTGCACTCTGCGGTGAACCAGCCGATGCAGACAGCCTCCATGATCCTAAAGACAGAACGAGACAGGGGTGAGAGGTGAGGGGGAGGCATGGAAGGCGGCTGCAGGCAGAATACACTGTGGCGTAAATATTAGGGAGAAGGCAGAAAAGGAGAGAGGGGGATGTAGATTATTATTATTATTATAAGAATGACATGAGAGATAAAAACTAAAAGTAAAAATGTAAACTAGAATTTATTTTGCTGATGAAGTTGTTTCCTGGAACTGTCTCCCATTTGGGCATTTTACTTTTCTTTTTTTTCAGCCAATTGAAAAGATCTGTACCTCTCAAACTCCTGGAAAGGTCTAAATAAAAATTAATCCTTCTTTGAACTCCACACTCACAAATAGAAAAAATAGAAACACTGGGCGAAAAATAATTGCAATTTCTCATGTTCTCCCCTTCCAACTGCTGCCAAACGCTGTAGCTAGCATTTTATCAACCAATCAATATTTATTTTTAGAGCACTTTTCTTACAAAAAGTTTTATGAATTGCTTTCCAATTCATGAAACTAAAGAAGAGTCATTTCAGTCACCCAGACGTGAGCACATCACCCCAGTCCTTTACTCCCTGTACTGGCTTGAACTTTCTTTTGATCTTAAAATGTGACTCTATGTTTATGGCATTATACCTTTTTATCTCTCTGCACTCTGATCTGTCTCTGATCTCTCTCTGGTCTCTCTCTGGTCTCTCTCTGCTCTCTCTGGTCTCTCTCTCTGATCTCTCTCTGATCTCTCTCTCTGGTCTCTTTCTGGTGTCTCTCTCCGTTCTCTCTCTGGTCTCTCTCCGGTCTCACCCTGGTCTCTCTTCAAGTGATTTCCCTTGTGGATCAATATATATACATACTGTATAGATACAAAAATGAATGAATAAATCTGCACTGCCAATTTCACCCTAAGTACTAACTATCATACTTTGCCCACAGCTTGCAAATCACACAAACACACACAATGGCGGCGGATGAGAAGGCAATCCCAGAGAATGATGGAGATATGAAGACCGCAATGGCTCAGTGTGAACCGCAAGCATGGGGAAAAGTCCATCAGCCCAATTAGAGAAAATCACATTAGCAGAGTACAGCATCCAGCCGTAGACAGAGGGGTTGGGATGTAGCAGGGCAATACCAGAAACCCAGGATTATGAGCCAAAGGGACGGAGAGGGGAAAGAAAGAGCTATGAGCGTATTTTGGAGCTGGAGTCGAGTTGATAAAATGCCCCAAGCGTAGTTCTAATGAATGAAAGGTAATGTAATCATTTTGTCTGTGGGAGAGGCAAAAACAGCAGAGGGCGCTTATGTAATGTGCCAATACGTTTGTGATGATAAACGTTGATTTAAAATTAAGTCAAATATTATGTATGTTGTTATTTTTTATCTGGACCTCTTGTCTGTAATAAAGTTTAATAAATACATCCAAATAAACAAGTTTTCAACCGGGAAGGAAACACAATGTGGCCTGTCTTACAAGCTCCAAACTGTCCAAACAAAGCATCCAATGTTTTCCATGGTTTCTGGTCGATAAGTCTTATAATAACCCACATATTTGTACACACACACACACACACACACACACACACACATGCACACACACACACACACACACATGCACACACACAAACACACACACATGCACACACACACACACACACACACAAACACACTCATGTTTGACCATGCTCCCAACAGTCCCATAGCTGCTGTATCTTTGGCAAACACTCACGGTGAAATCTGGCGAGCTGAGCTTTGGCAGAAGCAGGAGGAGGCTGTGTGCTTGTGTGTGTGTGTGTGTGTGTGTGTGTGTGTGTGTTTGTGGGTGTGTGTGTCGTCTCCGATTTATGGATCATGAGATGAAACACTGTTCAGTCTCATGTGTCTTTGTGATCACATTAATTATAGAAGGCCGTTGAATAGTGCTTTAATCATTCAGGAACAAATGCAGGAAATCACTCAGTCTGGATCATGTTCTACCCAAATTGGGGGAATGGTCCCATCTTTTTTTGGGTTTTTCACAAGTTTATCTTATCTTATCGTACAAATCGATGACCACAACATGATGTCTTCATTCTATTAGAAAACATACTGTACTGTGTATTTGTGTAAGCTCTCAGTCGTACAGGGATTAGTCAAAGCAAAGGAAGGTTTCTCACCCATCATCTGTACTTCTTAGAAAGTTTTCCCGACGTTTCGTCCTCAAACTAGCGGACTTCTTCAGGGAATGAATTCTCGGACCGCGCGTTGGAGATTTATAACCTATGGGTGTGGTTAGCCACACCCTAATCCTGATACTAACTCATAAACAATCTAAGGTCTGCTTTATGTAGAAGGGAGCAGGTCGTTAGCCTCAGCAGGGTCGTTTGACCTGCTCCCTTCTACATCAAGCAGACCTTAGATTGTTTTTGAGTTAGTATTGTGATGACAGTTTTCAGAGTAGTCACACATCATAACCAGCCACAGCCAATACACGGACGTGGAGGGCCTTTCAGATGCAGAGACGCCCTTCTGACGCCATGCTGTGCTTCCTGAAGGTCCCTGCTGCCCTGTCACACCCTTTTGCCTCCTACATATTATGGCCATTGTCTTGTCTGCTCACACCCCATGCAAGACACACCATAGGGGGTGGTGCCGGCGCTTCCTGTGTGAAGCAGCCTGTGGCCCCCTCCAATCTGTTGTGGGCGGGACTGACTTTCTTGTTGCTCTGTATACACGAGACTGGGGGCTCGGCCCCCAGAGCTAGGAGATACGACCTGTTGGTATGTGTCTGCTTCTCTCCTCACGCGCGTGTGTTTTAATAAACTTACGCTTTTGACTATGACAAACATCTTTGAGTTTTTCTACTGCATTGGGGTGTAATATTCCTCCACAATTTGGCGTTGCTGACATGTCTTGGTATGGACACTTTTGGCGAGGACGAGCGGCTTTGTTTGGCCGACCTGGACGCACCAGCCTCTGCTCTATTTGGAGACAAAGGAGAGGAGAGCATGCTCGTCCTGCGCACGGAAGGAGTCTTTTTGCCACACAAGACCAAAAGAACCTAATTGGGTGAGTTTGTTTTGTCAGTTTAGTTTGAGCTTAAACAGACAAACACTTAACACATAAGACACATGGACAGAGGACAAAGGACCACATGGCCACAAAATGGCCGCCCTACACAATGCTTGCAATTTAACTAATCTGGTGAGTTTGTCTTTTCAACTGCGTAAAGGAGCCCAGGGCAGCGCTTAAGTGTACACGGGGATTTGTTTATTTATGTATTTTTGGGGTATTTCATTCACTGCCACAGCATAGACTGTGCGGGATTTTTTTGGGGTCTTTTTGTTCTAGATTGAAGCTAGCGGCTGCGCGTCAGTATCGTCCTGTAGACGACCCTGATTTCTCCAAGTGTCCTCAGCCGGAACCGGTCCATTTCAAGAACGCGCGCTCGTTGGGTATATAGAACCCACGGGGGGGGAATGGAGCGCCCCAAAGTGGGTAGGAGCAGGGAAGACACTGAGCGGGTTAGGCCTATATTCTTACAAGGAAATGGGTAAAAATTCAATCTAGAAGATGCAAGCTATGCTATATGTCTCCGAATCATTTACGCATCTTGCGTGATAAACTTAGAAGAAGAAGGGAAGAAAAAAAAAATATATACTTGGTTTTGAGAATATCACGGCTAAAGAGGTTAGAGAAAGAAATATGTAAAACAATAGCTTCTCCGCTCTTCACCGAAGCGGAGAAACACACACACACACACACACACACATCCCCCCACCCTACCCCCCCCCTTTCCCCCTACTAACAATGAGTGTGCACCCAAACAAGGCGTAGGGTTTTTAAAAAATGAGCAGACTACTTTTCCCTCTTTTTCCTATTTCCCTCAGGTCTGTTGGCGTTTTCCTCTGCGCCCTGCTCTCTGCCCCAAAGCCCCACGCCCCAACCACAGGCGGCGCTAGCACCAGCTGAGACCCCGCGAGAAGTGGGACCAAACCCGGGAGCAGAAGAAGAAGTGGCGGAAGCAGAAACATGCTCAGGAAACCGCTGAAGAAAAAGCGGGGAAGCTAATATGTGAGACACCGACCACTGCTTTGGAGGCCAGAGACAAACTGCTCTAAATCCCGTGACTCTCCACGGAGGAGGCAGCGTGATTATATCAAATGCCCGTGGAAAGTTGTTCCCCCACCGCAAACAGAAGAAGCCATTGAGCACAGGCTGCCCCCTGGTCTCTCCAAGATGTACAGGATGGACCAAAAGTTGTCTCTTGGATTTTTTAAATCTGTAGATGCTGTCTGGGCCTGCTGCGGACTTTGAAAGACTTCTACAGCCCGGCTTGAAAGACTGTGTGCTCGATATGCGTCGAAGGTCTGTACCGGAGGAGGCGTTAAAGGCAGACACACGGGGCCAGAGGACGGCAAGGCAGGGCACGGAGGAAACACAAGCCACGGACCAAACCAACACATTCGTCCAAAGCGACCGCTCATGTAAGTTTTTAAACAAATTGCAATTGGCACTCGTTAGAGATAATTCATGCTGCATTCCCGTATATATATATACGCTAACAATCTGTGGTGTAAAAGTTAAAATTCTGGATGATTATTGGTCCGTTCTAAAGTGAGCGGTCGTTTTACAAAACACAGGGCTTCAGTTAGGGATGGGGAATTAATCGATTTTGATCATCGGTTCGAGGTTTACATTTGGGGTGATTTATTTTCTTTTAAAAATCCGATTTAACTACGTGCTAACCGCGGGTCTGTGGTGTTGAGCAGCCATTTCGAAGCTAACCTAGTGCTAACAGTGTCCCTCTGGCCTGATGCTGATGCTCACAGTTGATGCTGTTGCTATAACACTTCAAACGTTCAAGAATCAGAGTTTATTTAAATCGCCAGAGCACACACTCGTGTCCCACTGAGCCGCTGCACTTTGGGGAAAGACACGTCTCACACAATGCTCTCATTGCTCTGATACAAACAACGTGTTCCCCGCTAGCTGTTAGCTACATTAGCTGCTACATTAGCCGTTAGCCACAGCATCAGAATGTAAACAGGAAGCTCGCACAATGCGGAAGCCACTGAAGCTAGCATTAGCGCCACCAGCTGGACCGAGCGTGGTACTACAGGGACAGTTGAAAGAACAAGCATGTACCCGAGGAGGTTTTTTTTTTTTTTTTTTGAACAGAGTGTCCTTTAGAACATTTCTATTTCGAGTCATCAGTTTTTAAAATTGTGATATTTCATGTACATAATGCATGAGCTTAATAGGATTGATAGATTTGCGAAGCACCTCCTTGTGTGATTTAAGTTATTTGAAAGGTGCATAGGGTCATTGTAAGTGAAGTTATTATATACCTTTAAGCTACATTTTCGTAACAAGAGCTCATTAGAGATATAGGGGACACAACCATTTGTGATAAGCCCGAAATACAGACCACGTGGTAAACACTAAAGTTGGAAATGGATTTCTTTTTTTTTAGGAAAAATCTCTTAAAAAGCTTTGCATGTTCTGCAGGCTCTGGAAGTTGCAACAATAGGAATAACTCATGAGACAATTGTAATTGGACATGGAAAATATAACAAAGTTAAAATTACAGGCCTTCTGTGTTGTCTATGTGTTTGTGTGTGTTACATGTTTGTGTGTTATATGTTTTGTGTATGTTATATGTTTGTGTGTCATGTCAAAGTACACTACGCTGACCTTAACAAACTGGACCAAAATACTAACGTGGGAAATCGGCCTGTGATATGACTGTGATATGAGTGTGATGTGTGAAATGAGGAATGCTGAACGGAATCATGGAATAACAAATGTGTCTGTAATGTTTTAATGTGATCATGGAATGGTTGTTTTTTTGTCAGCAGCATACGGTGTAAGTACTAGAGATTCAAAGATAACAAGCTTTATTGAACAGGTGTACAAGTGAGAGTACTCTGGGATGAGTACTCTGAGGAAAGTACTCTGCGGAAAGTACTCGGAGATGAAATATGAAGATATTGGAAGTTCCTCCCTGTGCTGTTTGTCCTGACAGCGACACAGTCCAACCGCAGTGAGCTGTCGTTGGCTGAAGGACAACTTGGTTTGTAAACTCACATTTAGGGGAGTATAAAATTAGAAATATACATTTTGTTGTTCTGTATTTGGCTACAGCCTCCGCCCTGATGTCAAACACCGTCTGTCAATGCAGTTATGTTTTGCCCAATTGGAAAAAGATTGACAAGCGAAAGTGGGCATTTTTTGTGTTTTTTGTGTTCTAATATTTCTTTTTCAGATGAGAGATAACTACCCCTGCTTTAGGGATGACAGTAGTATGGACCATGAGGAAATGAGCATCTACCTGGGCACCAAAGCCCACAATATGAATTGAGGACGATCCGGGACAAAGCAACTGGAGATGAACGGAACAGTCGGTACTTTTGCAGTCTCACGGAGGGCCACAGACCCACTGCTTACTTCAATGCCGTGGCAGCAGGATTGCCTCGCTGCCTGCAGACTGTGGCTGCCGCTGAGAAAGCGGCCCTAGCATCACGTGACCTTGTGGGATACACTGAATTAACTTTGCTTGTGCCCCATGCTGTGTCCCTGATCCTGCTAGAGCAGAGGGCCTCTCGCCTTTCTGCGGCTCGTTGGCTGGGGTACAAAGGGGAGACGCTGCTGTATCGCCACAAGAGAACAGAGATGCACTCCCAGGCCAGACCTGAAAGAGGCGCCTCTGACTAATCCTGACTTGATTGTTGTTTATACAGACGGAGCCGCGTAACGTGACAACACTGGGAAGAACCGAGTCGGCTATGCTGTGTGTTCTGATTTTGATACTATAGACTCTGGTTGAACGGCTGCTGACAGCTGTAATGTTGCCCTTAGAGATCGCTGTATGCAAATGCCACTGAGGGCCACAATAATGCCGCTGATCCCATCTCTGCAGGGAATCGGCGCGCGGACAAGGGAGCGGCA